GCCAGAAGTGGCCACGTTCTGTGGCAGATCGTGTCTCGCTGGGGACTTGGGCAATATGTTGCTGCCACCTATGAGTGTTTTGAAGTCACAGCTGCTAAAAGTCCCAGAAAATGGAAAGCGCCTAAGTGAAGTGAATGGTGCAGCCTCATGCTGCCATTCAAAGTGTGACCAACATCCTCTCCTGAGGGCTTGGCGAGAGAACTGGGAAGGGTCAGTTCCGGGGCTCCGTCCATGGGAGGAAATTAGTGCTGAGTCAAATTTTTTCCCCCTCAGCTCAATTTCTATTGTAATACTCTCACTTAGATGTAAAATAAAGGCCATTTGGGACATTTTAGGCAGTCTGTCATTTAGATATAAAATAAAGGCCTTTTGGGGGCATTTTAGAGACAGACAGGGGGAAGCAAAGCTCCGTGGGGATACAGAAAGCACATTAGAGAGAAAATCCTACAGTGCCAGGGGCTTCTGCTGTCCTGGAACTCTGTGCAGGGGATTATTGGAAAATCTTAATGTTTTTCTTTTCTTTTCTTTTTTTCTTTTTGAGACAGAGTCTCTCTCACTCTGTTGCCCAGGCTGGAGCGCAGTGGCATGATCTCGGCTCAATATAACCTTCACCTCCTGGGTTCAAGCAATTCTCCTGCCTCAGCCTCCTGAGTAACTGGGATTACAGACATGCACCATCACGCCTGGCTAATTTTTGTATTTTTGGTAGAGACAAGGCTTTCTCCATGTTGGGCAGGCTGGTCTCGAACTCCTGACCTCAGGTGATCCACCTGTCTTGGCCTCCCAAAGTACTGGTATTACAGGGATGAGCCACCATGCCTGGCCCGAAACTTACTGTTTTTCTAGAATGTTCTTAGCATTGAATGAGCCTCTATATAGTCTGGAGATACTCCTGGCCTAAGCAAGTCTCTTTCTGGCCTCCGCCTCAGTTTTCTGTTTCTTGGCAGAATTTCCTACAGCATTTTTGCAAATTACTTTTTTACCTCTGGGTAAAGCAATTTGGACTGAAAATCCAAGTAAGAGAAGAATTAAAATATCCCATCTCAATGGTTATCTAAGAACTGCAAATTGAAACAGTGAGATAACATTAATACTAGTTACCAAAGTAGCAATAATTTTTAATGCATGTGGTAATTGGTAAAGTGTAATTTCAGGCCCTGCTAGTGGCCAGCCCAGTAGCAGAACTTTTCTGACAAGTCATTTGAGGGTCTTAAAGCTTTGTACCATTTGATCTAGTAATTCCATATTGTAAGTGTTATGTGATAATCAGCATCAAAGACAAAAAATTATAACAAATGAAATTCCTGCATCATTACGGAAATCTTGGAGACAACCCAAAAGACTAACAGTACAGAATTGTTAAGTAATCACCATATGTTATGATACAAGACGGTGTGTGCCATAGAATAACTGCTGAATGGGAGGAGTGCCCTAGGAAGGGAAGGAGGTCCAGATCCTTTCTGGGGGGAGTGGGCTGCTGTGAACCCATGTGGGATCTACTTGACATTGAACTGCATCTGCTGTAATGGCCTGGGGGCTTCAGTCCCCTGCCCAGCTCCTCTTTCCGTCTCTCTGCCTTAACATTGACTGAATCCTAACTATGCTGTAGGCCTTGCTTTACAAGAATTGATCCATCTTCACAACTTTAACGAGGACATTTCTACTATTATGTCCGTTTCCCAGTTGAGAAGAGTGTGGCAAAGAGAGAAGTTACTTGCCCAACGTCACAGAGTTAGGAAGCAGCAAGAGTCAGGATTTGAGCACGCATTCAGACCACTCTTATTATATTATGCCAGACTGCAAATAAGCTGTACAGTTAATTAGCACAACCTAGTTGTGCTAAGAATTATTAACAATCACTTTCTCAAATAATTTTTGGTGACATGAGAAAATTCTCATAGTACAATATCAACTGAAAGACAGCATGCATGATGTAGGTTATGATAGAATATGATGTAAGCCAGATGTGGCAGCTCCCTCCTGTAATTCTAGCACCTTGGGAGGCCAAAGTGAAAGAATTGCTTGAACCTGGGAATTCAAGACCAGTCTGGACATAATGGCGAATCCCCGTCCCTCTCAAAAATACAAAAGTTAGCTGGGCATGGTGGTTTGTGCCTTTAGTCCCAGCTACTTGGGAGGCTGAGGTGGAAGGATCGCTTGAGTTGTGATCATGCCACTTCATTCCAGCCTGGGTGACAGAGTAAGAAACTATCTCCAAAATAAAATAAAATAAAATAAAATAAAATAAAATAATGCAAGTTTTGCTTTATGATTTAATGAAAAAAGAAATAAATTCCATGAGACAGGAGCAGTGCCATTTACATGTCTGTTATTTATTTATCTATCTATTTTTTGGACACAGCATCTTGCTCTGTCACCGAGGCTAGAATGCAGTGGCACAATCTCTGCTTATTGCAACCTCTATCTCCCGGGCTCAAGCAATTCTTGTGCCTCAGTCTCCCAAGTAACTGGGACTACAGGTGTGTGCCACCACGCCTGGCTAATTTTTTGTATTTTAGTGGAGATGGAGTTTCACCATGTTGCCCAGGGTGGTCTCGAACTCCTGAGCTTAGGCAATTCGCCTGCCTTGGCTTCCCAAAGTGCTAGGATTACAGGTGTGAGCCACCGTGTCTGACCAACTTGTCTTTTAAACTCATTCCTGTAACTCACAGTATGTAGCTCAGTGCCAGCACATAGTAAGGCCATAGAGTAACTGCTGAATGGGAGGACTTCCTCTATGCGTCACTCTTCTCAACTGTGAAATGAACATAATAATAGAAGTTTCCTCATTAAAGTTGTGAAGATGAATCAATGCTTGTAAAGCAAGGCTACAGCATAGTAAGTGTTCAGGCAACGTTAAGGAGCCCTGGGGAGGGAAGGAGGTCATGGTCTTCCCTGGGCAGTGTGGGCTGCTGTGAACCTGTGTGGGGTCTGCTTGAACTGAATCCATTGTAATGGGCTGGGGGATTCAGTCCCCTGCCCCCTCCTCTTGTCATCTCTCTTTTTTTTTTGTATTATGCCAGAGCCATGTCAGGGACTGAAGCTGGTGTGGCACAAGAACGCAGACACTCAGGTCAAGAAAGGATGACCTTGCTGTTGATTGAGTGGACTGCACTCATCTTCCTGTTGTGACCTTGTCCATTTCATGTAAAGCAACATTTATGAGTGGGCCCAGTGCCTGTTTGCTTTCAGGGAAACAGCACAGAAATCAGGACCAGTAAATTTGATGTTGAAGTCTTTTTATCCCTTGGACTCCCGTATCCCCCACTCAGGGTCCCACCAGTGCACTGTCACCTCGTCCCTGCAATGGTCCAGCAGCTCTGTTCTGCCTCAGAGAGGCTCTGACAAGCCTCACTGGGTGTGCAAGCCACTGGGCAAGGCTAATAATTTGGTGATTGTTTGAATAAATATTTAAAATATTTACATGGAGAAATAAATTTTTGGTTAATACAAATTTCACGCAGAATGCGTTTCTTTAATTTTCTTTTCTTTCTTTTTCCTCTCTCTCTTTCTTTGTCCCTTTCTTTCTTTCTTTTTTTGAAAGGGCCTTATTTTGTCACCCAGGCTGGAGTGCAATCACATCTCACTGCAGCCTTGACTTCCAGGCTCAAGTGATCCTCCCACCTCAGTCTCCCAAGTAGCTGGGACTATGGGCATGTGCCACCACACCTGGCTAATTTTTGTATTTTTTGTAGAGCCAGAGTCTTGTTATGTTGCCCTGACTGGTCTTGAACCCCTGAGCTCAAGCAATTCTTTTGCCTCAGCCTCCTGAAATGCTGGGATTATAGGCAGAAGCCACGGCACCCTACCTTTTTCTTTCTTTCTTTCTTTTTTTTTTTTTTTTTTAAAAAAAACAATTTATTTCCATGGGTAGAAGCAGATCCAACATTTTGAATATATGTTTGTACCATGACTTTTTGTGTGTGCGTATTTGTTCCTTAGCTACTTTTGCTCTCTGATCTTCTAAACTAAACTCCTTTGGAGGTGCATGAAAGGGCTTGCAATTTAGGTAGTCAACAGCTGGTAAGCATCAAAGATGCGAACATGAGCTGAATCAGCATCTCAGCTGATGGTAATAATGGGCTTTCGGCTGCCAAAAGAAAAAAAAAAACTCAGACGAGAAAAGTTTTTAAAATTTCCAGTAGGTGGAGCTGTCAGTTTAGCTAGAAGTGTGATGGGCTTAGCTATAAGTTGGATGTTTCAGTGACTCTTAAAATTGCTGCCCAAACCATTTCCTGCTTCCTTCAAACCCAGATTATAATTACAACTAGATAACACTGGTGTGATTATTCTCAGTTTCACTCACAAGACTGTAAACTTCATGGAAACGCAATGTCAGGATTCCCAGAGATGTCACTTTGATCTTCTTCCTCTAAATTTAGTTTCTTAACAAAGGAATCATTCTGGGAGCTTATTAAAAATGGATTCCTGGAAACTTTCCCAATCTTGATTTAGCAGTAGTGGGGTGAAGCCAAGTGTTAGTTATCTATTGCTGTGTAAACCAATCACCCCAAAATTTAGAGGCTTAAAAGAACAGTTTCTGTGGGTCAGGAATATAGGAGTGACTTATTTTGGGGTTATGGCTCAGGGTCTCTCGCGAGGCTGCTGTCAGATGTCAGCTGGGGCTGCCTTCATCTGAAAGCTCAACTGGGGCTGAGGGATCCAGTTCTGAGGGTGCTGGAAAGCTGGATCCAGGAACAGTACAGGACAGGGAGGATGTGTTGGTCTGGCTCAGACATATCTGGACATAGGTGCTGTCTGGGCATGGCAGATTATTAAATGTTTGTTCTTTAGCTGGGTGCACCCTGTTGCACAGCAACCCTGAAGCATACAGTCTTTTCCACCAGCAGGTCCCCTCAGCCTCTAGGCTTCCATGGTCCCCAAACCTGCAGGGTCACTTTGTCTTTCCAGGCTATACTTCTGGGAAGTGTCCCTTTCAAGATGGCTTGAGGTTGGCTCCTTCCCATGTGACCTACATCTGGCCTTGGGAAAACATAAGCATTTACTCTCCTTCTTCACTCCCCAGAGAGGGGCGGGGAAAGGAGAAACAGTCTCCCGAGGCGTGTCTCTCTGCCTCTTCCACATCTCCCCCGTCATAGGCTGGGGGCAGGTGTGTGTGAGATCTGACAATGGCTTTCTAGTGTCTTGATGGGTCCTGCACCAGTGACCTAATACTTTGCCTGGGAATGTGGGGACCTGGTAACTGTTGTGTTCTCGGCCTTCGAGCATTAATGAAAATCTGATACACAACTCCCTTTCAAGATCCTGTTCCATTTCTCCATGCTCCAACTTTAAAGCCTTTCTAAGCATTTGACTCCAGCACTGGGAGTCTCTTGACCTTCTCCAATTGCATATCGCAGAGTTAAGCTGAACATGGTGCATCAGAGCTCAGTATCCATTCTGGGAGCCACATTCTCCTTCTTCCTTTTCTGTCCTGAGTGGAGACACAAGGGTCAGAAACCATGTTATTCACAATCACTCTTAATCCTCGCTCATCCCATCACTCACCTCTCCCTGACAATTTACCTCCTAACTGCTCCTTGAAACTGCCCTCCTCCTGCCTCTGCACTCCACCTTCCAGCATTGCTTTAGTCCAGCCCTTTCTCTGCTCTTCTTCACCCTGATTCAGCTAACTCCTCCTCCTAGACCTGGCATAGCCATCTGCTCCAGGAACCCTTACCTGATAAAATCCCATCCCCTTGCCCAAAGGCTGGGCTGGATCAGGTGCCCCTCCTACCCTCCCACAGTTTCCTGTGTCATCATCGGCCACCTCTTGTGCCTAGCCTTGCATCCTCTCTGCCCACATTTTATTCCAGTCATGGCTTGGGCCACCAGCTTTGAGCAGGTGCAAGCTGACTGCATTTCCCTAGCTGTTCTGCCTACCTCGCTTTCTGCCCCTGGGCTTGCCTAACATTGAGGCATGGGATGTCTGCAGAAATGTGCTGGGCACTTGTGCATACACAAACTGGGAGGTTGGAGAGTTAACACTCTGAGGGGCTAATGCTTGCCCACTGGGAGACAGGCTGGTGGACGAGTGTTTCCCTCTTCTGTCCTTCAATGAGGCACATCACTCCTCACCACTCCTTAGAGAGCCTCTAGGGGGATCATCCCCAGTTACTTAGAGCATAATGTAGCTTGGTATGAGATTGATGCAAAAGTAATTGCAGTTTTTACCATTGAAAGTAATAGCAGAAACTGCAATCACTTTTGCACCAACATCGTAAAATGTGTATTGGCTTTCCCTGCTGCTCTGGTTTACTCTTCCTATGTCCCTAGTCCCCAGCTCTACTTCTTAGGACCACTTCCTTAAATAAATTAGTGCCCACAATCCCTTAGCTTATGTTTTGCTTTATTTGGGAGGGACACAAGTTATCTTTAACTCAATCACTGCCTTTGTCAAAATAAGAATGTAATAGTTACTCGTTTGTATTTCTGTCTCTTCACTTAACTACAAGTTCTTTAAAGAAGAGAGGATGTCTCCTTTGTCCTCCAAGTAATGCATAATAAGCATTTGTTCAGTAAATGGCTTAGAGGTAGAAAGAATAGGCTGCAGTTGGGTGTGGTTCAGACCTGTAATCCCAGCACTTTGGGAGGCCGAGGCAGGCGAATCACCTGAGGTCAGGAGTTCGAGACCAGCCTGACCAACATGGTGAAATCCGGTCTCAACTAAAAATACAAAAATTAGCCAGGTGTAGTGGCGCATGCTGTAATCCCAGCTACTCGGGAGGTTGAGGCAGGAGAATCTCTTGAACCCAGGTGGCAGAGGTTGCAAAAAGATTGTGTCATTGCACTCCAGCCTGGGCAACAGAGTGACACTCCATCTCCAAAAAAAAAAAAAAAAAAAGAACAGGCTGCATTTACCCATAGCAGCTAAAGGGCATGGGATGTAAAGCACCCTTGAAAGATAATTTTATGTGTTACCTCATTTAATTCTAATTTAATTCTAGAGCAACCCTAGAACGTAGGTGCTGTTATTATTTCTATTTTACGGATGAGGAACAAGTTGAAAGGGTTTTTTTTTTTTTTTGATGCATTCTTACCCCGTCTTGCCCAGGCTGGAGTGCAGTGGCATGATCTTGGCTCACTGGAACCTCTGCCTACCAGGTTCAAGTGATTCTCCTGCCTCCCAAGTAGCTGGGACTACAGGCGTGTGTCACCACACCTGGCTAATTTTGTATTTTTAGTAGAGACTAGGTTTCACCATGTTGGCCAAGCTGGTCTCAAACTCCTGACCTCAGGTGATCTACCCGCCTCGGCCTCCCAAAGTGCTGGGATTACAGGGGTGAGCCACTGCCCCTGGCCATGAGTTAGATAACTTACCCAGAGACACACAGCTAAAGGAAAAAGCATCAGAATTTTTAACTCTGATCTATCTCATTCCCAAGCTGGCCTCTTTTCAACTCAGTTAATTATTGGGGAACTGTGGAGCTTGTTATTACTGCAGGATAAAGTGCTGGTGGAGAGTGCATGGAGGGGAGGTGTCTTCATGGACAGGGGCTGTATCATGAATCTGTCAGGTGGTCTTTATCTTGCCGGCAACGGGGAAACTCTGGAAGCTTAAAACATTTTCTCATTGTAAACTTTTCCAAGCGTCCTGGCGTAAAAAAAAAAAAAGGCAATTTGAAGAACTTCCACAAGGGGGCAGGCATTGGCAGCCAATGAGAAAATCCGCCTTGGAAAACCAGCGTGGGAATCTTGGTTCAATTTTCTTTTCCTAGTAGGGCCTCTGCTCAGCCCTGTGAGTGGAACTGAGATCGATAAGTCACCTCAAGCACTGGAGACCTGCTGCTGTTCACTTTGCCTTTCCCTCCCGCCCTCCCTTCCTGTCTTCTTCCCTCGCCATTTCTCCCTTCATTCCTCTGGTTTACTTCACAGAAGTGGAAACAGGTTCAAAAATGTTGTAGGTTGGTGCAAAAGTAATTGCGGTTTTTGCCATTAAAAGCTATAGCAAAAACCACAATTACTTTTGCGCCAGTGTAATTGTGGATGCTTCCTAAACATCACCAAGTTTGCAACATCGTGAAAACTCAGTCCACCTTCAAACAACAACACATGCAAACAGCAACAGTCACCACGGCAGCAGTGTAGACCTGAGTGTTCACCAACCACGGGAAACATCGGGAGTCCCTGTAAAGCATCCATCACCTCTGCACACTTCAGAAATGGTTATTGATTCTACTTTAGGCTCAGGTGACATTTGCTGAATACCTGCCATGTATCAGGCTTGGTGCTGTGAGATCAAGCCTATGTGATTCCACTAAATCTTCATACTCATAGTTTGAGCTAAGTAAGATTTTCCACGTTTACAAATGAGGAAACTGAGTATCAGAGAGGCTAAGATCACAGGATTGGCAGGTTATGAAGCCATATTTAAACCAGATTTTTGAACTTTTACCGTAGTGTTCCTGCCATTAAACCACACTGGATTGGTTGACTGATCATCTCTCTATGGGAGTGTGAATCAGAGTGACCGACGGGGTGTGGAGGGAGATGTGAAGCGGCTTGTTTTCTTTGATGTCAACTAAGCTTAATGCATAGATGGTCTGGAGGGAAGAAGAGGAGTGGAGAGAGAGGTTGTTATAGCTCTAAACTTCAGCTTCCTGACTCCACGTATGGTGAGGGCATGGTAACGGGGGGGCGGGGGTGCGGTGCAGGGGGGTGGCTGGAGAGCTCAGGTAGGAAGAATGGGTTTGAGGGCCGAGGGTGTGAAAACCCTTGGCTGACCTCCTGCTCAGCCACCTCCTGTCCTGGATAATCCTGGTGGACAGCAGAAGGTTGGGTCCAACAGGAATTTATTCTGTGGAACCCCTGTACAGAGAAGCGTGCTAGGGAGCAGGAATTTCAAAATGACCCATTTAAAGTCATGAGTGGAAGATCCAGGGATGGAACTCTGATATCCCGTCTTGAGGGCCTTGAGTGTCCCTTTGCACCAGAGTTTTCCAAAGTGGGATCCACAGTGTGCTCTCTGGCAGGTGTACTGGAGGTATGGGGTGGGTCACAGGTGAACGCTTCCTATTTAATAACATTTGTTTATTTCGAGGAAAATATATGGCAACCACATCAAAACCACGAATCCATGGATATTATTGTGAGGATGAGGCTAAAGTAGACAATGCATAAAAAGTGGACAGATTTAAACATTACCTGAAAAATATACTACATAATGTAATGTACATAGTGTATTAGCTTCCTATTGCTGCTGTAACAAATTACCACCAATTGATTGGTTTAAAACAATATAAATTTATCATCATATAGTTACAGAGGCCAGAAGTCTTAAAATCATGGTGGCTGGGCACAGTGGCTCACACCTGTAATTCCATCACTTTGGGAGGCCGAGGTGGGCGGATCACTTGAGCTCAGGAGTTCAAGACCAGCATGGCCAACATAGTGAAATCCCATCTCTACCGAAAATACAAAAAATTAGCAGGTGTGGTGGCTAGTGACTACAATCCCAGCTACTTGGGAGGTTGAGGCAGGAGGACTGCATAGACCTGGGAGGTGGAGGTTGCAGTGAGCCAAGATTGTGCCACTGTACTCCAGCCTGGACAACAGAGTGAGACTCTATCTCAAAAAGCAAAAATAGAAGTCTTAATATCAAGGTGTTGTCAGGGATGCTTTTCTTCTAGGGGCTCTAGGGGAGAATTTGAGTCCTTGCCTTCTCCAGCTTTTAGAGGCCACCTGCCTTCCTTGGCTTAGGGCCCTGTCCTCACAGCACACCTGCTTTTTCTGAGTTTGACCCTCCTGCCTCCCCTCTAATAGGGAACCTTATAATTACATTGGGCCCACCTAGGAAATCCAGGATCATCTCCCCTTTTCAAGATCCTAATTTAATCGCATCTGCAAAGTCCCTTTTGCCATGTAAGGTGCCATATTTACAGGTTCTGGGAATTAGGGCACAAGCATCTTTCGGGAGGTATCGTTCTAGCAGACACGGTATGAGTGTGTGATGTGTGGGGAAGCTTGTGCAGCTCATGTTTGAATGACTGGAGACTGGGGAGGTCTGCTTTACACTCCAGCTGCCTTCTTATGGGCCATTTTTGGACTTGAAGTTGGCTTTCTTGGGATCTGTTTAGGCGCAGGCTTAGGCGGAGGAAAACCTCACTATTTGAGAGCATACTTGCCTATTAATGAGGGCTTCTACTGGAAAGTCCTTTGGAGACCTGGTAGCCCTGGAATCAAATTTGGGGGTTGAGGGTGCGAAGAGCTGACTGGCTCCAAATAAAAGTGTGAGGAGAGAGCAATGGGGAATGCACAGCTTTGCTGAGGTCGTGTGAGGAGAGGAACCCTTAAAAAACAGGGTGTCTGATATTTAATCTGGATTATTTTCATTCTTGCCATGCAACTGCTCCTTTGTTTCATCTCATGCTTGGAAAAAAATCTATAAAAATGCTGTGTGTGTGTGTGTGTGTGTGTGTGTGTGCATGTGCACGCAAGGGCTTGAAAAAATTACTGGCCTCCTCTGGTTAATTTTTTTTTTTTTCTGAGATGCAGCATTTTTCTGAGATACAGCCTCTCTGTCACCCAGGCTGGAAGTGCAGTGGCACAATCTTGACTCACTGCAACCTCCACCTCCCGGGTTCAAACAATTCGCATGCTTCAGCCTCCTGAGTAGCTGGGATTACATGCCCAGCTAATTTTCATATTTTTAGTAGTGACGAGGTTTCACCATGTTGGCCAGGCTGGTCTTGAACTCCTGAGCTCAAGTGATCTGCCCACCTCACCCTCCCAAAATGCTGGGATTACAGGCGTAAGCCATGATGCCCAGCATGGTTAAATTCGTTTTTTTTTTTTTTTTTTTTTTGAGACAAGTTTCACTCTGTTGCCCGGACTGGAATGCAGTGGGGCAAACTGCAGCCTTGACCTCCTGGTCTCAAGTGATCCTCCTGCCTCATCCACCCGAGTAGCTGAGACCACAGGTACGCATCACCACACTCAGCTAGTTTTCTTGATTTTTAATAGAGAGGAGGTCTCACTATGTTGCCTAGGCTGGTCTCGAACTCCTGAACTCCAGCCTCCCAAAGTGCTGATATTATAGGTGTGAGCCACTGTGCCTGGCCCACTGGTTAAACTTTTTATTCCTGCCTCCTTTCTCGCTCCAATTAAAGGAGAGGCTGATTTCCTTACCTGTGTCTTCAGGGACAGACTGTGATGCACAGGCTGAGTAGCTAGGCATAGGCAAAGGCAACTGTGAGAATGAAGCATTTGCAGATATCTCAGGGATGCTGGTTTTCCTCAACATTATCTCAGTTAATCCTCACTGGGATCTCTGAAACCCAGAGAAGTTGGTTTCACAATGACCTTAAATGGACCAGCTGGGATTTTAGTCACAAATGTGGGACTCTAAGGCCAGTTCTGGAATTTGTTGTTGTGGATAAAACATACCTGGTTCCTGCTTTTTGGAAATAGGGTAGTCTCAAATCTCACCTAGACCTCATTGCATTAACTAGATCTTCTAGTACCAACTTTAATGAGTCTTCCCTGAGGGCTTTTCACGTGTGGAGAACTAGGTGGAGTGGCAAAGATAAACAAAGCCAGACACCAGTGAATGTGGTATGAACAGATTTTAATCAGTAATGCAGAGGTTTTCTCTTATATGGGGGGATATCTTCCAAGACCTCTAGATAGTACCAAACCCTATTGTATTAGTTCTACATTGCTGATAATGACATACCAGAGACTGGGGAACTTACAAAGGAACGAGGTTTAATAGATTTATAGTTCCACGTGGCTGGGGAGATCTCACAATCATGGTAGAAGGCAAGGAGGATCAAGTCACGTCTTGTATGGATGGTGGCAGGCAAAGAGAGAACAGAGCTTGTCCAGGGAAACTCTCCTTTTTAAAACCATCAGATATCATGAGACTTATTCACTATCATAAGAACAGCATAGGAAAGACCCGCCCCCATGATTCAATTACATCCCACCAGGTCCCTCCCACAACATGTGGGAAATCAAGATGAGATTTGGGTGGGGACACAGCCAAACCATATCACCTATATACTGGTTTTTTGATCTGATAACCCAGATGCTACTGAGTGACTAATGAGCGGGTGGCACAGGCAATGTGGATACCCTGGACAAAGGCATGATTCACGTCCAGGTACAGAAAACGCAGAATGGCCTGAGAGTTCATCATGATACCCAGAATGGACATGGAATTTATAATTCATGAATTGTTTATTTCTGGATTTTTTTCCTTTTATATTTTCAGATCACTGTTGCTGGTAACTGAAACCACAAAACGTAAAACCTCAGAAAGGGGCTAACTACTATGCACTATTGAAACAGGGAAGAAGGTTGGGTGTGAACTCAACTTTGATTGGTATGGTGGTGACTGGGCATTTTAAAGGGAGATTGGAATAGGGAGGGGGCGACTGTGGGCTCAGTTGAGTTGGAGAAATGAAAAATTACAAAAAACGGAAAGAGGTTTGTTTGTGTGAAATTCATCTGGGTTTGTTAATTAGCTCTTATTGAAGGTAGGCTCCTACGCTCCCACAGAGACTGGGAGACAGGCCTTGTCCTCAGGTGTTACTGGAACAAACAGTATATTCTTTTGGCAAGCTGGAGTTTTCTCAGGCAGGCACTTCAAGGAAGCTGGAGTTGTCCTAGGGATATGGCTGAGCTGTTAGAAACTAGGTTAGTGTTTGCTCAAGTCTTGCTAGTCTAAGCTTGAGGCCTAGTAGAGAAAGGGCTTAGAAGGGCCTGGCTGGAGTTTGGAGAGTCTCAAGGAGAGACTCTTGGTCAGGAGTGTGCTGCAGTGCATCAGGTGTAGTCCTGCACTGTTCCCAGAGTGTGTTCCTCAGAACACCGTTGTGCTGGGATGGTAATAGGTGTCCATGAGAAAAGGGGTCCATAAGTAAGGAAAATATTAAAAGTTAATCCATCATCTATCTATCTACCTATCTATTCTCTATTTCTCATCTATCATCTATCTATCTATCTATCTATCTATCTATCTATCTATCTATCTATCTATCATCTATCTATCTCTATCATCTATCCATCCTCTATTTGTCATTTATATCTATCTATCTATCTATCCATCCATTCCTTACAAAACTTCTCAGAGCCTCTAATATGTGCATTGGGGATCTCCAAGAGAGAGATTTCCTTGGGAATCAATATCTAGAGAAAACGTGTGCCTGGCACAGAGCTCTGTGACTGTGTGTGTGGCATGAATGAATGAAGGAGTAAGTG